ACTTTGCCCCTGACAGGCTGGAGAAACACGAGTCTATATGCGCCAAGACCCAAGCCAAGGCAAAGAAGAGGAAGGTGAGAGATATTCCTTTTGCAGATCTTATGTTATAATATATTTCTTAGTTGGAGATGAAGATGATCTAGAGTAATGATATAGAGTAATGTGAACTAAATTTTTGTAACCATATATATATTATACTTCTATTTTTTTTTGTTTCATTTTATTTATTTATTTATTTCAATTATTGTTATTATTATTTTTTTTAGAATTTACTGATATGAAAAATATTTTCAACCACTATTGATTTTCTTTACTATTATTGTCATGATATCATATGTGAATTTCATAAGTTAGGTAAAGCATTGTCAAGAAAAAAATGCAGAAAATAATGTTATCCTATTTTGTGTTTTCATGAACGGAGCAGAATAAGGTTCGTAATAGGTTCACGTTAGCACCTTGTTTCAATATCTTTTTCCCAGCATGATAGACGAGGGGAAAACTAGCCTTCAAAAATCTACATTTAAACGGCATTTTATGGGTTTCAACAATGAGTATGATGTCGGTAATGCATGCAACCAGCTATTGAAGTGTAATGAAGAGTGAAAAAGATTAAAAGAGAAGCATAGTATGGACAAATAGTATTAATATTGAAAGTCCATGCTTATGCGTTGTATTGTTGTTGGTATTGATATAATTTACTTGTCAAAATGCAGTGAAGTCTTTTTTTAGTTATACTATAAGTGTGAATTATAAATTTGTATGCTATTCATAATGCAATTGAAATATGTTATTTACTTTTATATGTTATCTTTTAAGATGTGATATATATAAAAAATAATTATCCAGGATTGGCCCGCATTACTCACTTCAGTACAAAATTGAATTAATTTGCCTCTGAAAAGAGAGAAATAAGAAGAAATGATAATTTATAAATTACAAGAAAAAAAAAGTATTTATCAATAGCCCCAGCACCCTTCTAAGGCTTACTACACTCTAGCAATAGTTAATCTTCCCTCTATTTCTCGGTGCTGGAAAAAACTCTAAGAATGTATGCTATTTTATGCCTTACTTTATATTTTCATGAATGGAACAGAATAAGGTTTGTAAAGGGCTTTGCGTTTGCATCGTGTTTCAACAATTCTTGCATGCTAAGATAATGTTATCGTCGTGATCTTGTGGTGTGATTGCAAAATTTCAGACTGTCTGCCATGCAACACTTAAGATAATGTCTTCCAAGTACTAAATAGTATTTCAGTGAATGGTGTTTATGACCTTGGTTGAATTTATTTTGATTTTTTATGTACATGATCAGAAAGACTTGGTTGATGGTACACTGGAAATGTTTTCTTGTTTTTCTTCTTTTTTATTGTGTCTTTTCTTGTAAAAAGAGAGAAATACAGCTAATAGATATAATGAATAGAAAATTAATTATGGTACGTAAGCAAACATCCAATGGACATATGAATTCAAATTTCTTAAGTAATAGTATGGTTATTTTTCATATATTCATAATCCAGCAATCAAGTGTTGCTTGAGTTTTACTGAAAAAAAAGAAAAACTTCATAGTTTTTTCTGGGCAACAAAAACAACATTCTTAATACTGTAAACATTTCTCATTTAAAAAAAGAAAAAAAGAAAAAGAGGTAAGGCTGTTGCATTAGGTAATTTTATATGTCAAGCACTACATAAAAAAGACTTCATTACAAGGAAGTCACACAGCATGTTGTGAATTACATGTCATATAGGACCATGGCATCATATTGGTAATATTATTTTCTATTAAATTTTTACTTTTATGTTTCAACACATACATTTATACATATGCACTTTTGTACATAATACAGACACACACACACACACACACACACACACACACACACACACACACACACACACACACACACACACACACACACACACACACACACACACACACACACACACACACACACACACACACACACACACACACACACACACACACACACACACACACACACACACACACACACACACACACACACACACACACACACACACAAAATGATCTTTAGTGAGTAAGCCTTTGCTATACAGACCATTTCATTGAAAGTAAATGTTTTTAAGTTTTATAAAATTAATAGATTCCTTAATTTCCTTTCCCTATCTCTTTTTCATAACATGACCAACCCCTTATCTTTGTGGCTTTCTCATGGTTCCTTAGTTAATAGCAAATATTAGTTTATAGTTAGGTCAGAGGCCATGCTATTGTGGGGTGTTTATACTGAAGAAGGTGTGGGTAACAGGCTTTTTTTTTTTCTTTTTTGTCTTATCAGGCATTTGATCCTGTTAAGATGAGGACAAAGGGAACCGAGGCAGAGAAGTACGTTAAACGAGGAGCTCACCTCAAAGAACTGCAGCAGGTAATGTTTTATCTCTTTTCAGTATCTTAGTTATTGATCGGCATTAAAGTTGTTGGGTGTCATATGTCATTTTGCATATATATATACGCAAAACATTCTGTACTTATTTTTTCTTTCTCTGTTCTGGTACAGCCCAAGAAAGCAGATTGGCGTAAGAAACACGAAGACTTCATCGCCACAGTAAGAGCGGCAAAAGGTATAAAGGGATACGAAGCACCACCAATGGACACGTCAGACTATGTACAATGCCCCCATTGCGGAAGAAAGTTTGCCGAGGGAGTGGCAGACAGACACATCCCCAAATGTGCGTCTATTCAGAGTAATAAACCCGCTGGAGGACGGAGGAGGTAGACTTAAGCTTGCGGTTTGGTGCGGCATTTTAAAACATTTACTCATTTTTTTTTTACCATTTACTTTATGAATGTGATTCATGTCATATGCGGCATACAAGAGGTAATAATTATCATGCCTTCAATTGAAGCTGTTGATACTATATTGCAGTAGGAGTTGATTTTGATATTCATTGTACAGCTGTAGGATAATCAAAATGGAAGAAAAAGATGAATGTGATGAGTTATGGGATTCAGAATTGACCTACTTACTAAATTCATATAGTTCTTCATGCAGTTGTGTGATGTGTCTCATAGGTAGAGGTTTGATGTGATTATACATATAATGGAGGGTCAGTTTGATAAAAAAAAAAAAAAAAGTATAAGTGCGCAAAACAGCACAAAATTGAAGAAGAAAAGTTCCATTGTATAAGTGCTATATATACCTTGCTTTTAACTGCTGTATTTTGAAGTAACTGCATCTTTAACCTGGTTAATATGTAGAGCGAAGCTTTTTCCTGTGACAGGCATTTATATAATTCCAAGACCTATAATGTCAACGTTATTAAACTATATGAATGTGGTGAAACTATTGAATGTAGCTGTGTAAATGATGTTCAGATGTCATATATGTTACCTTTCCTCACTCAAGATGGAAAGAATGTTTATTTGTTTAGATTAGGAACTTCATTCCATTATCATGACCTGAGGTTGAGGCATGAGTAACCGAGGCTGGTGCATTCCTTGTTTTAAGTCTTAACAACAAAAAATCTCTCTTAAGTGCTTTTTAAAGTTGCAGTCAGATGGTAGAATAACAAATTTTCCCTTTTTCTTTCTTTGTTTTAATAAAAGTTTTACTCAGGAGGTCCATGTGAATAAAGATGAAACAATGGAAAAAAGAATGATACTCTCTGACTCACAGTTTGTTATGTAAGGTTATTCTGAAACACCAGCCCATTGGAAACATAGATGTGACAATTTTGTTGCCCAACACTTCCGTTGCGCTTTTTAAAATATCCGTCCCAAATATATGTTACTCCCATTATAATTCTGTGTGGTGTTTTGGAATTATTTGATAAAATATGTTGTTTTCTAGGTGTACTGCTGACCAGCAAATTGATAAGAGAATAGGACTCTGCTGTCTGTGATACATAAACTAATATATGGTCATCCTAATACATGTAGTTGTAAGTTACATGGATAAAGAGATGAAAGGGGAGAAACAACTTTGCTGTGTAAATTTAAGCAAAAAAACAACATACTTTAAAAGGTTCCTTGATAAGCCAGCCCAGCACTTTTGACTCTGTTAAAATAACAGGATCTCAAGTGTTCATCTTTAGGTGTAATTATATGATATATTAAGAGAGACAAAAGATAGTTTCATAAAGAAAACAATAAAAAAATACCCAGATGGTTTCTTGTCTCAATGCTGCCATCACCCTCTGCCATGTGTGTTAAACCAGACACCTGGAATAGAGTGTGTTAAGACCTCATTTCTTTCCCTTCCGTTCTGTTGAGGGGTTGGTCACCTGAGGCATCAATGGGCTGTCCTATCAGTCATAACATGTCCTAGGGTTCCTTAGGGCAAGATCTATGTAGCTTAGATAAGGAGTGAGGGTTGCTCAAGTCTTACTATAGCCATTGGTTAAATGATGAGAAAGTGGTGTCAAATATGTGGTAACAATATTGCACTTCTTTTCTAAAATCTGAAATGATTTTGTACAGTGAAAAGTAGAAATAATAATATAGATGGTGAAGACTCACTGAACAAGAAGCGTCAAAGAATGAGTGATGGTGAAAATGTTCCTTCACCCGTCTTCATTAATGTTCTGAAACTGACATAACTTTCAGATATTAATAGGCTTTGTATGTAAATGGAATTTTGCAATAAAACTAATACGAAATGTGGAAGATGTGAATATCCTTGTATTTCTCCACAGCATTGTAGATTTTTGTTTTTCCTGACCACAAGCATACTGATATGGAGAATTGTTTGCATATATGGGTACATTTTATAAATTGGAGGTTGTCAATAAAATAGTAGATAACTTGCATAGCCGTGGACTATTGCATAATAAGTTTATTTAGAATTTTATTAATCTCTCTGTATAAGGGTAATTACAAAATATGATATACCACCAACAATTTACAAAAAAATATATCTACTCTGATTTGTATTGTTTATTACATTAATAAATGATGTACTTCAAGCAATTCAGTTTGTGCATTACTGAATTACTGAAGCACACAAACACAAGTACAAACAAATAAACACACACACACACACACACATTCAGAGGAAAGATAAGTAAAGAAAAAAATCAGCATGACATTTTTTAAAAGCAAACTAATAAAAAAAAAAAAAAAATCTTTAGTTATATTTTCACAGCAATGTAAAACTTAAAAAAAAGACAAATAGCAAATTAATATTAATAACTCAATAACAATAACATTAATGGTATAACTGTATACATGGAATCATAAACACAAAAAATATGACAATGAAGATGAATGCTTCATCATCATAATAAAACAATAAAACAATAAAATAAAACAATAATTCACATGACTGATAATTGCATAGTGCAGTGATTGCATAGAGAAATTAACCGAGACATTTGGTAGTGCCACAAGGCTTAAGTCAAAAAAGAAAAGTATTATCTTAGATGGGAAAAGAAAGCATACTTGGATGATAGTGTTAAATAACAACCAAACTATAACAAGATATATAAGATTGAACCTTCCAGTGCATGTAATGGGAAGAGTTAAGGAAATAAATACAAGTTAATAAATTAGTAAATAAATTAGATTAGAAAAAAAATTGTAATCAGAAAAATATGATCTTTAATACACACAAATGACAAACCCACTAACAACATAAGAGCAATGTTACAATACTGCATAATAAGAATAAAATAAAGTTCATGGTCTGTTATCTGGGCAGCATACACCCACTAAATTACTATACATCAGTAACAAAAATAAAATCCACTGGTAGGAAGACAAACACAAATATACAGGTAAACAAGGCCAAAAATATATAATAGCTATAATAAGAATTCATAATTTGAGTCTTTAGAAAACAAAGTATTTAATACAATCTAGCACTCATACTTCCCTCACCTTGGATACACCTTAATCCAAAAGCATAGACCTTGCAAACTTCACTCCAAGAAAGTTACCATAATTTAGTACACTATGTTCAGTTCATTCTTGACCCACTGCCACTCAGGAGAAGGCTAGAGAAGTGCTTAGTTACCATGGAGAGTTACTAGTCCTTCCTATCTCACCTGTTAACTCTTTACCTTGATTTTAAGAAGGATGGGAAATCAGGCGAGGGCACATAGGCCTACTAACTAACTGATGCCATCATGTGTAAATCCATTTTACAAAAGGAACAAAAAAATAGATATCACACGTCCCCAGAAGCAATAGGTTAAAAACCTGTAGTGTTCACTAAGGCAATTATCTTAATCAAAGACCAATATGACTTTTGTGAAACCAGCCACGAAAAGCATTCAGACTCACTAACTGCTATAATAAAAATGATCTATTGATTGTGATGTTGAAAATAACCTAAATTACTCTTCGTTTACATTGACTATATGATATTTAATGTGTCTTTTGAGCTTTTGTATTTCATATCACTGGCTAATGCAGAAGAATGAAGTTTGTCTCATTCAGAATAAAAAAAATAATAATAAATACACTTTCTTACATGCCAGCATGTAAATACAATATATATATAAATTGAAGGCAAAAAGAAATGAAATTAAATCAATATCAGTTAAACAAGAGAAAGTCATGTTTACAGGGAAGGAATGTAAAAGGTATCTCCAGTTAGGAGCGAGTGTATTGGTAAAAATATCCATAATGATACAAAACTTAATTATGAAATGCTTGCTCTATAAAACATTTTCAACGCTTGTTTTTTTACTTTTGAAATCACTAATATCACACAGCAATAAATTGACAAATATCTTAACATCTCATTAATTTCCTTTCACTGTATGTACCACTCTAAATCATTACACAATATAATATCAATAAATAATTCAATGTAAAGTACATATACATGATGCTGATCATCTCTTCCTGCTGATTTGATATATTTCGTTTCATCTTTAATATTGAATTATTCACTAACAATTATATTTCACAAATTTAAGAAAGCAAAACTTTATATTTCAAAGCAATACAGACCATTATAGAGACAAAAATATCCCAAACCCCAGTAAGGTCTCAAATGTGTCTAAATAAAAAATGCCCAGGAATTAGGAGTGCCTTTTTAATTGCACCTTTTATAACAGTATAACCCAATACCCCATTCCACATCCTCAGTTCAAATCTTCCTCTTCCTCTTCCTCGTCCCCATAGAGGGCATCTTCCACCTCGGGATGCAAGGTCTGAAGCTCCATGATTGACGTGAGCAGGTTGAAGCTATTGCGGTGTAACACGTTAAAGCTCTCCGTCAGCGTACCTCCGAAGTGGGTCTGCAGAACCTAAGTATGGAGAAGTTGTGGTTTTAGAATGCATGATTCTTCAGTAGAGTGAGAGTGAGAGAGAGAGAGAGAGAGAGAGAGAGAGAGAGAGAGAGAGAGAGAGAGAGAGAGAGAGAGAGAGAGAGAGAGAGAGAGAGAGACAGACGAGAAAGAGAGAGAGAGAGAGAGAGAGAGAGAGAGAGAGAGAGAGAGAGAGAGAGAGAGAGAGAGAGAGAGAGAGAGAGAGAGAGAGAGAGAGAAAGAGAGAGAGAGAGAAAGAGAGAGAGAGAGAAAGAGAAAGAGAGAGAGAGAGAGAGAGAGAGAAAGAGAGAAGAGAGAGAGAGAGAGAGAGAGAGAGAGAGAGAGAGAGAGAGAGAGAGAGAGAGAGAGAGAGAGAGAGAGAGAGAGAGAGAGAGAGAGTTTGTTTATGCCAATGATAAAAGTAACATGGATTCAACATCATTTCCTGTATCCTATACAGGGATACATGAAAACTGGACTGTTTGCATGTCTGGTTTAATTTTACTTGTTAATTTTTTCTCATGATGTAAAACAAAATGGTAATATCTGGGGCAATGTTCCATGACAGTGTGAATTAGCATACACAGTATACTTAAATGTTTATAAAGAAATTACAAACTTACATAAACAATGCTCTGCAAGCATGTCTTGCCAACAGGACGGAGCATCTCTGTGCTGGCCGAAGAGTCTGTTGATGGATTCTCGGAGGTTCTGGAGAGCTCAGAGGACTCCGATGAGTTCTTGCTCTGGGAATCTCCCTCGAGACATGCACTCTCAGAGCCTTTCTTTTCTGCTTTCTCCTTGGCACAAACTCTTTCTTTTATGGAGTCAGACCTGAGCCTGATGTTCCTGGTTTCCTCCTTCTTGCTCTTTCTTGCATCAGGAGTTATCTTAGGCATTTCTGCGAGTGACGAGGAGGAGCTTGCTTGTTCTGATGACTCGGACGTTTCAGGAATGATGTTGCGAGGATGCGTTTCTTTCACTTTGACTGTCTCTTTCCCTTTATGAGCTTCTTGGGCAATTTTCTTCTTTTGTCTTTCTATCTGTGTAGATGTATGTCTAGGCTGGAAAGTCTTGGGAACTGTGGTTGTCGCAACAGGGCTCTTTTCATGGCTGGTTTCTGGGACTGTTCCTAAGAGAGACATGGAGGACACATCATCTACTGCAGGAGGCTCAGCATGTTGTAACTTCAGCACGCACACGTCTTCGTTGTCGTCATCATCTTTTTCCCAGAATCTGACACGTAACTTTTTACTTCCGACAGACTGGCCAACCTCACTGTTTTCTGATTCAGGGGAGCAAGAGGGCATAAAACCTTCAGAGATATTATGCGGTGTAGGGCAATCAAGTTTTCTTTTGACCTTTGCTAGAGCTGGGCTTCCACTATCCTGTGACAAAATATCGGGAATCTTCTTCCTCTGACTTAGGCTGAGTTTGGTTAATTTTCCTCTATTTCTTGGTGTCTGTAAAAGTAAAAGACATCACTTGTTTTCAGTCATTAATTATTTTTTAAATCTTTTACAATTACAATGTGAAGCAAGTGCTATTAACATAGTAAACCATTCTTAAAAAATGAGGAAGTGAAAAGTAACATAAAATACAAGTGAAGCACCATATTGACTTTACACATGGAGCATGAAGGCCAATACAGTAATTTTACTAAACCACTAAAATTAACCTCATCCAAGGCTAGGTAATCCTCAGACAATGATATATATAAGCTCACCAAGAAGTAATGTTACACTCTATATTATATTTACCCAAATGCAACTGCTCAATAAATCCCAAAGATAGGCTTACCTGGAAGGCACTGCTCTGAGATGCAGGCAGAAGTGGAGAGCATTCTGCTTCACTGCATGGAGAAATCTCTGGAAAAGGCTGAGACATATGTGATGGAGTCATTAAATCTGATCTGGTTGCCTTCTGTATCCACACACTGGACTCTGGTTTCATCTTGGGTGTGTTGGTGTCCACTACTGTTCTAGCCTGACTGGTGGTTATTTTTCTTGTAAGTGTATTTTTGTCTACAGGTGCTACTGACTTAGTATTTAGTGATGCTAAATCTTTTTGATGCTGTTCCTCAGGTGAGGACTCATCTATATTTACAGTTATCACATTTTGCACTTCATCATTTGTAGCTTCTTTTCTTCTTTTTGGTGATTTCTTGCTCTCCTTTCTTGTGGCAGTTCTTTTTCTTTCTGGAATATGTTTAGAGGTTTTTGCTGATGATCCGTGTTCAGGGTTATCTGACTCACTACCAGAGCAATACACCAAGACCTCTGGACTTGGAAGGGAGGGAACATCAGTGCCTCTCTTCTGCGCTGAGCCATGCCCTTGATATTCTTTGTTCTGGAAAATGGCTTGTGTTTGAGTGCCAGTGGATAGCTCTGAGGTGCCACTGCTTCCTTTTGTGACCTCAGGGGGTGGGGTGTCCGAAGACAAGACTATGCTGCTTGGAGATGAAGTGGACTGTATTTCGGAGGAATTTTGGGAACTCAAACTAGAGTCCACCTGAGTGAGAGGCACAGCCTTAGTTGTGGAAGCCTGTGGGAGACTAGGTGTAATATTCTTAGGACTATAAGAGGAATGTGATTTATTAGTAGGTATGTTATGATGGACCTGACTTTGGAGAATATTTTTTGTACTTTTGTTTTTCCCTTTTGTGTCTTTGGATTCATAGTATAGGGGCACTCTTATGTTCTCCGTGTGCTTCTCAGGAGCATCCTCCCCTTCTTCTCCCTCCAAGTCTACTGCTATAATATCTCTA